GGGGGGGGGAAACAATGGGAAGGGAGACGAAGAGACGAGGAGATGAAGTGGGAAATGTGTGGTATAGGTGATGGCTCGGTAGATTCAAGAGAGTAGGCACGTTTTGCGAACGGGCGACTTAGGGTTAGAAAATAAGGTCGCGGTTAGCGCTCCGGGGATCATCATGAACGATCCGTAGATTGATTGTGAATAAGAAGGCGCAATTTAGGAGAGAAAATATTTTGTGGATGACGAAGTTAAGGAGAGAAAATATTGGAACAACCTCCGCAGGTGGGGAGGTTGATACCGGCCAAAGATTCCGTTGAGAGAGACATGACGCTCATTACGCCCTGACCGATGAGGTGTAGAGCATGTGCTGCCCTTAGGCAGGAATGATACATTAACAACGGTAAAAAAGCTGTTGGTATTATGAGGTGAAAAAGACGAATTTGAAGCTCAAGTGAGCTCTCTGTCGCTTCGTCGTGGTCCATTCGACCCCGCGACGCACGGTACACGCGCAAGTCCCAGATGATGCATGCAGCCAGCAGAATATACAGTGATATTTTGTAGCTTCGTCATCATCATCAGCAGCAAGCAACAGACCCAGCGGTTTCGCCATTTTCTTCCCTCTCGGCGAAAAGTATACACCACTTTTTGTCGTACTAAAACTATCGCAGTTAAATCAGTGGTATCATGTTGTGTTAGGTCGTTGTCAGTTTGTGATTCAGTTTGTGATCATCCTTGGCAACAGAAACGAAGACGAGTCCAACGCGCCCGCCCTCTTTTGTACACACCCACACCCGGCGAACATCGCATAGAGAGAAAAGCTACCAACCCAACGAAAGAATATCAACGGAGAGACTCTTCAATCGCTTCATAATGACAAGTAGTATTTCTTGACGTACGTGGACCAGCAAGTGTTTTTCTTTCATTCTGGTCTGCGACCCACCAATCGGTGCCCGCATCTACGCCATTTCAGGCTGAGTAATTACCGACGCCTCTGTGAACAGATACCACCGATACTAAGATAGAACAACGAGCTCACTGGCAGCGTACACATTCTAATATAGTGTGTTGTGTCTTACTTGTTGTGTAGGTCAAATACTCCTAAGAGAAATTTGTACAATCGGAATACGAAAAATTAGCATCGGGGCAACCAACAATGAAGTGACACAAGCACTAAATTTGCCATCGTAGACACTCTAATAATCCGGTCCCTCAATACATTTAACCGAAGAATATTCCAGCAATAAGTTACTGGATTCCTATGGCTCAAGACTGTGTATCGTAGCCAACACCAGTACCATTATTGACTACTCAGTATTGAATATTCCACGAGTACACTAAATAACAACTCAAACGGTCATAAAGATACAGGCTGCAGATACCTAGCCGGTGTTCATGACGGCATGCGGGTATTCCCAGCGGTATAAAGGCAACCATACACCACATATACATATTATTTGGCTACCGTTCATATGCATGCAAGCATTGTGTTCTGTTGTACCGTATGTGGCTGCTGTTGCTGGTGTGGCGCCAGGATTTGATGATGTAGCTCGACGTTGACGTTCTCCGCCGAGATCCCCCCAATCGGAGTCGCGATGCTTTTTTGCACGAACAGCCCGGTGTAGACTCTCCGGAACGCAGACAGGATTCGCCCGGTTTCGCCCGATTTGGGCGCTCTTCGCGGCGGTGCAGCCCTGGAGGCGCGCGAAGGCTCAACCGCGAGACGGGCGGGCGGCGGACTTTGCTGGGGACGCCCTCAAGAGGAGTCGTCCGCATCAGCTTTGTGGCGGGCCAGCGGAAGTACTGCCGCTAACGTGTCGGGTTCAGTGTGGGGCCCTCAATCCGCCGCCGCCCTCCCAGCGCTCGGGTTGCGCTCTCAGGGCTGGAAAGGTGAAGCATAATTGTCTAAACTTCGTACTCATTTCCTACATAGCCTTTAGTGTGGAAAACAAAATGTAGCCCCAATTTTTTTGGCTACCGCAGCATGGACCAGACACCGGAGAAGGTTGACGTCCCGTCACCACGCGCAACCGCATGAAAAAGGCCGACACGCGTCGCAAACGATTGACAGCATGGAGCGTAGACGCGCAGCACGCGCCGGCCGTACTTGTACACCTACCGCACGCCAATTAGAGGCAGCGCAGCTTTGCTATCCACCACGCTTGATACAGCACACAGTAGTTACAGTAGGCGACAGCAACGTTTTCCTTTTCGCGTGATAACTCTCCGCATGACACGAGACAAAGCACTTTACTGCTGTTATCTGGTGCATGTCCCTACCTAACAATCACAATGAAAGCAGTGGGAGTCTGTGTAGACTACATGATGCGTCCGACTTCCGTACGTAGACTAGAGTGTTCACTATGGAGTAGATGTTGGCACCGTCTGTAAAGCGTCGACGTGCCCCGATTTCAAGGCCGGGCCGCTCGCACTTTTTCCCCTATTCTGCGCAGACCCGTGTCCATAGCGTTTTCGACAGAGCTCCTTACGTTGTTGTGTGTATTTGTTTTGTAAGCGTCGACCGCGCTAATCGTTTGTGTGTGTGTATGCCATGGCAGAGAGTTATTAGTAGCATGCAGTGTTTTCTGAATGGTAGTGCGTACCATGAGGAGGCTCCATCGTCCGAGACTGCTCCCGTGCAACAGTTTCGTCCTGTCCGTCGGGTAGTTTTCGGAGGGAGATTATGTGTTTCAGCAGCAGAGACACGTTAGCATACCGCAGAGGCTTTGTGCCGTGCTGAACGTGTGGTGCGGGGGTAGTCTCCCTCCGTAGGCCACAGGAGTATTAATCAAGGAAATATGAAAGTTAACAATTAAGTATGTGTTGCTGGCGT